TATATTTAAACCGATAACTGCATTGAAAAGCCCTGGAAAAACAGCACATTATAGTAGCATAAAATTGGATTACTACATGCACAGAACAGAGAAAATTAAGCGGCATGAATGTTGCCATTGTAATTCGCGTTTGCGTAAAAGTAGGCCGTACTGAAATTGTCATATCTCAACGGGAATGTTACTTTTAGGACCGATAACTGCATTAAAAAGCCCTTGAAAAACAGCACATTATAGTGGCATAAAATTAAATTACTACATACCCATGCAGATAACAAAGAAAAATAAGCATGAAAGTTGCAAAGGTTGGGATTTTAATTCTGCATGAAAAATACAAATACCACTCTATATGCCTTCATATCCGCATTTTACCCTCTCATCCGTCCGCATTTTACCCTCCTGTCCGTCCGTTTTTTACCCTCTCATCCATCCGTCCGTCCGTCTGCCGTCTATCCGTCTTAAAAAATATTTTCATTGTCTATACGACGCTCAACACCGTACCCACGACGCACGACCCACGACGCACGACCCACGACGCACGACCCACGACGCGCGACCCACGACGCACGACCCACGACGCACGACGCACGACCCACACACCCACGCCATTTAGCCATCCTCATGTACATATGGCTGTCTTTCCATTAAAATTCTCAAAATCTTTGTCAGTATATGCTGTTTCTTTTGGAAGCTCGTCATGTTAAAAAACGTATTAAACGAAACAAAACTAAACAATTGACTTTGCTTGCTGTCCAAAACACCCATACTCAATAGATATAAACATTATATACAAAAATCCAAACATTATTCGGCTTTCTAGCTTGATAGCTCTTGCATAATAAGTTCATTTGATTCGTCGTCTGTAGTGTTGCTTTTAACACCTTTCAAACGCCGCAAAAGTTCCACATTCATACTAAGCTTGTGAGCAGGGCAAGAGTCCGCTCTTAGACCTTCCTTGGTGTGGATAACACCGACCAAACTTTCCCGCTTCAACGAGTTTCTAGTGTCAGTTTTGACAAGTTTCAACACACTAAACAACCTTTCCACTGCAGCATTTGAGGCAGGTAGAGACATGACACAACCAACGACTTTCAGCAGGTTAGGATATTTCAACTTCTGATCAAATGTACGCGCGTCCAAACGATTCTGCCAGAATTGTAATGAAGATTGGTCTTCATTACAGTGGCGTGCTGGCAGGGGGGGGCCGGGGGGCCACGGCCCCCCCAGCTGGCAATTCTTGGGGGGCGCAAAAATGAAAATGGGGCGCCGAATTTTGAAAGTGGGTGGGAAAAAACACATTCTCGAAAAAATATGATTACTTCCGCCAAGAAAAGACGTGTTTATAGGCTACGGTATAAATCAGACTAAGCGCATAGACGACATATATTAAACTACAGACTATTTTGCCTAACCGTATTTGCTACCTCACAGCTCACACGAAATCGTTCATATAAAAACATGATCAGTGATCACAGGCAATGTCTCATTACCGGAATATTGGTCAGGTTTCGATCGAAGCGATCACGGGAATTATGCCCTTTTTTCTGGTATTATGCCCTTATAATATGCCCTTTATTATACTTCACGAATCACGAGGGCAGCGCAAATTAGATAGTTGAAGTTATGATAACTGATGTAAAGTTGTGTACGCAATTTAGCTGTTTGCAGAAGAAGCATGAGTAATGTAAGTAATGAAATAATGCTGAAACATGCCCTTTGGGCAGCCAGGCAAAGAAACCTTAAAATGCATATGCGTGGGGTGCGTGTGTTATTGTATAAAAGAGATTTAAGTTGTAAATGTGCTCAGAACAGTAGATCAGTAGAGAACAGAATTGGGATTAAATTAATCGCTGGAAGTAGTTAGCGCTAGCATTAATTGCATAATTTAAGTACTACTACTAAAACCTAACCAAATTGGAAATTTCGGCACGTTGTAATGCCGTTTTCTGACCATCAGATTTCTGTCAAATCTTCCCCCAAAGTCCAGGAAATGGCATTTCAGAGACTCTAAATTCAAAAATTTTCCTGGGGGGCATGCCCCCGGACCCCCCTAGACAAACCTCGCACCTGCGGCACAAGGCTCGTGCCTTCGGCCCTCGTTTATCAAGTGTAACATTATAGGGGCGCATATTGGTTGACAGCCCACTGGCCCCTCCAGAAAAATAGTACCCAGCACGCCACTGCTTCATTAATCTCAGGCGATTCTTCCAATGCTTGTTTTCTCCATTCTATGTCCACGAGCATTTGATCGGCAACGTTTGTCAGATACGGGAATCTAACAAAAAGTGCTTGTAGAGACGGAGGACAGCATCTCACAGCATTTACAGGAAAGATGAACTTGAGTAATTTGTATGCTGAATCATTTAGATCAAACCGGGATCGGATTTGCTTCACTAGCTCCACCATAAACTCACGGCAGGCCTTCTTGATCTTCCGCGCAGCTTGCAAATCTGCACATTCACTCAAAGTTGTCGTTGCAAGGATTCCCAGATAAATTTGGTCATCATCGACATTAAATTCTGGATTATCGATAGGTAGAGTGAATGGATCACAGGTCCTGACAACATCCATCTTCACAAAATCCAATAAGATGTTTTTCAGCAGCTTATGCAATTCATCACGAAGTAGATGAAGGACAGGATCTTCCGACTGGAATAAGGTGTTGAACTCATTCAGGCGATGCAATTGCACGCTAAGGAATTCAAGTTGAGCTTTCAGGTACTTTTTTGAGAGACCATCAAGTATAGAGTCCGTCGTGTAAGATGGATCCTTCTTCTCTGCGACAACACCAGTAAAATAAAGACGAAGTGCAGCCCATTGCTCTAATACCCTACTTACGCATGACTCCGAAGACAACCACCTAGTTTGACCAATTCCGAGAAGCTTGTGTGGCTCAACTCCGACAAATGCTTGAAACTCTTCAAGCTCCTTTTGTCTCAAGCTTGATCTACTGAAATATGAATAAATATTTCTACATAGATCTTCGAGTGTCTTCGATAATTTAAGACAAGCATGAGACGTGCACAAATGGATCATGTGACAACTACATTTCACGGCAAGAACATGGGGGGATCTTTCTTCAGCAAAGCAACGACACTTTGATGCTCACCAAACATTACATTTGTCGTGTCCGATGAGTATCCAATTATGTTCTTGATTGGGATTTTCTTTTCCTCAAAAGAACCTTTAATCGCCTTGTAAAGACCAGTTGCGGTGCAGTTCTCTATCTCCACCATGTCAAAAAACCTCGTTACCGATCGCACTGATTTTTCGTCAAAGTACGAAACGCAAATTTCCAGCTGTTTTTCTGTAGAAACATCTGTAGTTTCGTCGGGGATGATGCTGAAATACGTTTCCCGCAGTATCTCAACAAGATGCTTTGAAAAATATAATCCAAGACCTTGTCTCAAGATATTTGTGCATTTAGTTGCTGAGAGATGAATGCCCTTCAGCACATCGACTTCTCTGGGATTAGTAGGTATTGTTGACTTCAATAAACTCATTAATGGGTTTACTATGGTAAATGGGAGGTTGTGTTCTGCAAGGAAAGCGCATACACGAGCTTCCGTCGTGGTCGAGAACGAGCTTGTTTCCTTCAGCCGTCGTAAACATTGCACTAGATTTCCTTGTCGCTGTCGCCCAGCCATTCGGGTGGACTGCACAGCTCTTTTATGCATGGCGGTTTCCGCGTGTCTTTTCAACGATGTTTTAGAACAAGACACAGACCTTTGGCATGCTTTGCACGTAACGCTTGATTCTTCAGCAGAAGGGCGAACCAGCCAACTTTTAAAGGCTGGGTCTTCTAGCCACTGGTGCCTGAATTTTTGGAATTTTTTTTTTTTTCCCGAAGACGAACTTTTGCCATAATCATCCACGTTAATTGCCTCAGTGGACGAGTCTGATTCTGAGTCAGCCATTTATAAACGATCAAAAATACATCATGTTGGATGTGTTCTTTATGGCTTTATGTTAACAATCAAATTTTTTCAGTTTTTAGTGCTTAGAAACAAGTTGAAAAACAGCAAAAAAGACGAAAAAAACACTTTTGCAACTATGTGACCAGGCCTTGTAGTAATTTTACCAATTTAAGGAATTTTAAGGAAATCTGAGGAATTTTCGAGTTTTTTTTAAGGAATTCGAAAATTTGATTGTGAGAGCACTGTTTATAATTTTTAAAAAAGGAGTACATTGGAGAAGATTTGAAATTAGTAAATATTAGTTGCATATAGGTGTAAAAGGTTTCTTCTGAACTTTACCAACTAATATCAAGTTCAAGCTTGAGCTTTAATTCATTCGGGCGGCTATCTCCACAATTTCTGCTGTGAAATGTATAAATGATGATCCAAACAGATAATATAAATGAGCTGAACGAATGGTGGTATTTTTGCCCATGTCGCATCACTCGCATGTATGCTTTTGGAGTATCGGTAGGTGCAGACCTACAGTATTTTGTGTGGAGCCGTAGAAAATGAGTAATAAATTACTAAATTAACGAGAAATTGAAATAATTGTCATGATGGGAAACAAACTTTTGAAATTTCGAGGACTATGGTGATTCTGTTTCCATATGTTGTACTGTACAATACATTCATTTATTGAAATATACTATAATTTATTACTATTGTATAATATTTCAACTCGATTACTACTTGTATATAATGCACATATCAATGGCCTGCCCTGTGGGTACACCCCCGGGAATTTGCAAAAACATGATTCTAATGCATTAATTCCCCCGGGAAATGTGTAAGTCAAACTGCCCTCCCCCTGGGCTTACAGTAAAGTAGTTCATAATATAAATAGCATACAAACAATTAAAAATTATTATACAAACTGGGGTATCACAATGGCACTCATGTATTCCGTATTTATTTATTCAAATTTTAGCAAGACCACTAAAAAATATAAATAATAAGTTGGCGATCGATATTTTTCTGTGTGAGCCTGCGATTTTGAGTTCACACCAATTATGTACTTCCTTTATAAAATTTAAATTGTCACGTCAAAGTCCTCTACTTCCCCTCCCCCCATCGTCCTATTATTGCGAAGTTTGTAAGGGAGTGGTCATTATTTATGGGGGGGGGTTGGGAAATGGGAGGGGGGGAAACAAAGTTTTACCCTTATAAATAGGGGAGATCAAAAAAGTTTTAACACAGAGAAAGGGGGGGTCATAAAAGTTTTTGAACTTAAATACCATGTCTAGAGTTTTGATTTCTATAATCACAAATAGCAAAAAAGAAGACTCTGAAAATGCTATTTCCAACGATCTAGAGACTCAAAATTTTCAAAATTTCCCTGCTCGGGGGTGGGCATCTACAAAAATGGACCATACTATATTGAGTGTGGAGAGATGACAGATGGTTGTTGACAAAAAGTTTGGTGTGGTATCGTATGTACTAGTAGGGGGTCCGGGGATTCTCCCCCAGAAAATTTTTTGTATTTTTCCACCCCTAGAACTGAAATATGAGCACTTTCTGAAACAGATTTTTGGATATACAGCGTTACATTGTGCGTTGATAGACCGAATCTGATCAGTTAAGTGTATTTGCATGGTATGTTTATGTAAATACCACAACTGGGTCACTCAGGGGGTAGCAAGCTTGTTAAACTTAGTGGGCCCGACTCCCATGATTGCGAGGCACTACCATGGTTGGTGCCCAGACAAGTTCTTAAAAAAACCCTGTGTTCAAATCATTTTGCTGTATGAAGACGGGTCATGGGTTAGGGTTATGGTAGGACAAATGTTGCATTGCAAAGTAGTAACACATAATATATATTTTTAATCACATATGGTTGAATCATATTCACCAGGGTAAAACATCATGAGCTAGATTAAACAGATTGTCCTAATATCTAACTTTACATGCAATGCACACCTGTTTCATTGCTGTTAATTTTTCAATCCACACTGGGGGGTGGGGGTCAGAAAAGTTTCTACTTTTATGAGGGGGGAGGCACAAAAAGTTTGCCTTCAGTTCTGTAGGGGGGGGGGGTCAAAAAAGTTTTCAATCCTTATTTTTCCCATTTCCCAACACCCCCCTCCCCATAAATAATGACCACTCCCTAATTTCCCCGGGGTTCACAGGCAGAACACACAGATAAAATACCAAATTCCCCCTCGTTTCCCCCCAGTTGTCCCAGGGTGTACCCCCCGGGCAGGCCGTTGATATGTGCATAATTCTCTTTCAAATTGTATAAAAAGTATGTTGTTCCTTTTGCATTTCTACTATACATATAATTTTAATGTATAAATTTGTGAACACAGCCATGCTTTGTTGAAACGAAACTTATGTTGGTTTATGCATGTATCATCTAAATATTTACTGCTGTTTGTATTTTTCAGATTATGGAAACTGCACATTGTTGATCATGTCTACTCACAATGTACTCTGTGCACATTATGGGGAAAGTAAATCTGCACTAATAAATACCCAAATGTATATGGCTCTACGTTTGTCACTGGAATCATTGTTATATTCGATGGCAATTCATGGCAATAGAATCATATTGTTTGACCAGGCAAAGGATTAGTTAATTAAGGATCTAGCACACCAAACAATAATTATATATTATTTTATTAAACATATTCTTATGTGCATTATTAATTTTCATTACAAATTAGATTTATTCAACATTTAAAAAGTTTAATTTAAAAATATATACAATATTATTATATTACTATTACAGGCCATCAATAAGTATTCTTGGTCTCATACCCATGTTTTATTTTGTTAATTCCATAAGGGTATTCTCGGGTTGTCCCAAATGATACAAGTGAAACACGCACATAGCTATCGCTTTTAATAAAAGAGTATTTGATGTCATATTTACTTCAATATATTTTATTGAAGCTATGCTGGCTATAATTAGCTGATATTTCCAGTGGTGGCACCAGCAGTGGGGACATCCCCCCCCCCTAAAATATTTTTCAAACCAAGAATATTTATTAATGGCCTAATAAATAAATTAAAATTAACACACAACACTCACACAACATTCACACATTATAACATACACAAAGTTACTTAGTGAATTTAATATCATGGCA